GATTTTAGGGGGGGGGGGGGTTTCTTCTTCGTGTTTTTCCAGAAAATGTTGTCTTGGTGCCGGAAATCTATCGCAAAATTCAGCTTTTTGTTTTTCATTTAGCAGCTTTTTGAGTCATCTTGTTCAAATTTCTTAGAGGGGCAATTTGGAAATTTTACAGTGAGTTTTTTCCTTTTCCGTTCGCAATGTCGGGTAGAAAACTCGATTTTAGGGGGGGTTTCTATTTCGTGTTTTTCCAGAGAAACTTGTTTCGTCCTCCGTTTCAAGCCTCAGTTCTGGAGACTCATTTCTTTTTCTTGCTGTCAACTTGTGCATGCCATTGGGCGCCGGCATGGGCGCCAGTGGGCTCGTGCATGGGCGCCGTGTGTGTCATGGCCTTCGTAGGGCCGTCACGACGTCTTAACTTCAATCCCTCATTTCTCCCTCGCTCGGACTCCAAATCGAGTGAACTTTTTTTTGAACTTGACTAATTTTTTGCTGTCTTTCCAACAGTGTGCTCGGTTGCACCCTGATATTCCTGGATAATTACCAGTTTACCCTTTTAGCCTTAAGTGCTCTTTTTTCTTCGTTATGCCGTTTCGCCTTCGTCCTTACTCCGAATCATGCGATTCTTGAGTCCACATTGACTAGTTTTTCGTTGTCTTTCCAGCGGTGTGCTCGGTGGCACCCGATTCCATAGTTTTTAGAAATGACTATTTTGCCCCTAGGGGCTTATTTGTCATATTTTCGATCTTTTGCTTTCGAGACAGTTCTCATTGAGTTCCACGACCTCATGGAGGATCACTTTGAATTCTTAGAGTCTTGTTTTTTGTTTTTGCTTTCGGATCTGGATCCGTTATCGGGTCAATCTTTGATTCATCACAGGACACCCTGGCCTAAAAACCAGGGTCACCACACTTGTTTATGAGATGGAATCATGTAAAATGATGTAATTATCTCATGTGAATTAATGTAAATTGATGTATACCGATGCACGATGATGTTTATAATTCATGTTCATGAGTTGCATCAGGGCTAGGATGGTCAAAACGACTAATTTCGATCACGTGGAAGTAAACCATTCGGGAATAAAGGTGTTCGACCGATCACATAAGAGGGTGCGATCGATCGACAAAGCGCCAATTTGGGTAGAAGTTGGGTGCGATCGATCGCATGTTAGGATGTGATTGATCAACAGAGAGCCATTTTGGGTTGAAGTTGAATACGATCGATCGCATGTAGATCGATTGTTCTTTTGTATGGCTTGTTCAAACGAAGTCGGACCTCAATGCATTTCCTCCATTGACGTTATTAGTAATTAAAGAGCCATACTAAACCTACAAATTGATATTATGATGAATAATGACCATGGTACCCTTAGATGTCCTCGGGTTCGAGTAAGGACCCGATTAGTGATTTGGACCTCCGGATTTGGGTTTTACCATTGTAAAAGGGTTTGAGCATGTTTAATGGGCTAGCTAGGTGAAGGACAAGTTAAAAATGTTACTTCTGTAGTTAAGAGGTTACATTTCTCTTGTTGTGCCCATCCTGTAAATTGCTTTTGATGGAACAAGCTAATTAGGTTGAATGTGCATGCTAATTAATCCTTCTTGTCTGCCAGTTAGAGGATTAAATAATCTCTCTTTTTTAAATAAAAAAATTTGAGTTCCAGATAGGGTATATGGAATATCTTTGGTTGAACTCACAGGTTGCGTTGTATGAGTGAATTGGAATGTATGGTTTATATGGGGGTGGTTCTCTAAATGCTTCAAGATTTTTACCCCAAGGGGCTTTATGTGTGCGGCTATTTCTTGCAAAATCTGTGTGTCATTAGACAAGTGAATATTTTTCTAAAAATATGGTAGTTCCTACTCTCCATTTATTTGTCACTAGTAAACTGTTTTTGAATAATTTATTTGATCAACTTTTTAACGTCCAAAAATTATAAAAAAAATTCAGTTTTATAATTTCTTGTACCTACTTTGTGATGACCCAAATTTTAGGATTTTAATTTAATTTATTTTATGATTTATAATTATCAAGATTGGATTTTTGTTTTAAGAGAGAAGAAAGTGAATTTGGTGATATGATGATGGGTCCCACTTGAATGGTATTTAAGGAGTTAGAATTTGGTTTGTTACATATATATATATATATATATATATATATATATATTGTGTGTATGTTGTTAGGTGATGTGGAGTGAAGATGAGAAAAGAAAAAGAGAAATTAATGGAAGGAAAGTGTTCCAGCCGAAAGTGGGTTTTGATGTGGAGTGTTTGTCTGATGGAAATGAAGGAGAGAGAAAGTGATGAGTTAGAATTGTTGACTGTGGTTGCATTTATATATATATATATGCTGAAGAGAAAGAAAGAAAGATTGATAGAATAATGTAGGCTGCCGAAAAAGAAAAGAGAAAAGGGAAATTGTAATGTAATGGGCGGGACTCACTTAGAGATTTTGTGGCCAAAAAGCTTTTGGCCTTAAATTGTGCATGTGGGATATTTAGATAGAGAAAGATATGGTTTGGTTTGTGTGTGTAAAAAAAAAAGAAAAAAAAAAAAATCTGAAGATAAAGAAGAAAAGGAAAAGGTAAGGAGTACGAAGAGATAAGGTAAAAATGTGGTGGGACCCATTAGGTGACATTTGGAGTAAAGTGTTTGGTTTTGTCTAATGGAGGGGTGATGGGTGAGCAGTTGTATTATGTCGGTAGAAGCCATTATAAATTAAAGGTGTTGTGCACTAAGTGAATACAAAGAACAGAAAGAAAAATTTAGAGGAATACAGAAAGAGATAGAGAGTTTGAGAACACAGAGAGAGTTTGAGAAAAGAGAGGAGCCGAGAGTTTACAGAGGAGGCCGGGAGCTTGAAGCTTTGATGATCTAGTGAGGAAAATTCTTTTTCAAGGTAGGGGTTTCTAAGCTACAATTTCTTTGCCCTTTGTGAATTTTCATTATATAAATTGTTGATTTGTTCACTAAATTATGAATATTATTATGGTTATTTGAAATCTATGAGTAAAGGAAGCATGATGAGGTTTTTTTTTTTATGTGTTGTATGTGATAAGTTGTATGTTTAAATGAATTGTGATGACGTATAAATGTTTTGTTGAATTATCTTTATGCTCCATTTATTTATAAAGTTATATTTGATAAAAATGAGAACATGACTTGGTATGAGAATTTATTATAAACTTGCGAGCATGATGTTAATGAAATGCGTATTATTATATATTCACATTGGATAACATATGACATTTCATGCATTTATCATTGGGCATGAAATGAAATATATACATATATATATATATATATATATATATTATTAAGCAATGGAAAATGATTTTGGGAAATGATTTTGAAATTAAATGATTTTGTGAAAAACCCGGACACCAACGGGGTACCGAGGGTCCGTGGGGTTAATGTAGCCCAGAGGGAACTAGGGAGATCGCCTTAGCGTGGTTGAGCTATCTAGGCCCCAAATGAAGCCGCGGGGGTTCCAAGGGTCAATGATAGTAGCCAATCCTTCTCTCGTGTCGCTGGGGGCTACCGAGGGACGGGTTACATTAACGGTTTGAAAAGTGAGGAAATGGAAGAGAGTTTGAAAATGGGGAGTAACATTGCATGACATTACATCTCATTGCATAGCATGGTTTATTACGACTTATCCGTGGTTGTTATAATTTCATTACTAAGTTCTCCCTGGCATGGCATGACCTCGTTTCCCTTGTTCCTACTCATTGTTTGGATTTACGGGGTCATAAGAGGTGTGTATTAGGCGCTTCTTACTGAGCTTTATGCTTACTCCATTATTTTAATATTTTTTTTTAGGAAACGGAAAGGAAGTGGTGGACAACACTCCTCCACAAATTTTGATAGGTTAGTGGACTGTTTTGACATATTTTGTAGCTATAATATTATTATTATTTTAAACCCTAGGATGACATGTATATTATGGATTGACATAGAAAAAGACGATAGTGTCCTTAGTTAACCTCGGATTCGGGTAAGGACCCGATTAGCGATTTGGACCCTCAGGTCCGGGTCGTTACATACTTTCTAACTTGAAATTTATTACTACTCTACATTTTCAAAAAGACCAAAGTTACTTTAAATGCCTAATTTCAGCATACTTGGACAAGCAATATTTATTTAATATATTGATTTAATTGGAAAGTATTCCATTTCTAAGAATGACACTCTCTTGTGAAGTGCCCTAGTTTCATAGGAATTTTAGTTCGTGTCATTTTTGACACTGTCAATTCGGTAGTCTGACCCTTTTTTTCCCGGGACCGTCGAGCAAGAAAAAGGTAGCCCAAGTCCCATAAGAAATGTCCATTACATTCCAGTACCATTACTTATCCAACCCAAACTTCCTTAGATATGAACTGGGGGGTTGCATACCCAAGTATTGTTCAGCAACATATATTTGTGTGTATCAGTTTAGAACTATTAGTTTTATGAAAAATATATATATATAGAATATTTGGTTAGTTATTCCTCAAAACAAATTAAAATAAATTTTAAATAATAATAATAATAATAGTTCTATACTTCTATTATGCTCTCTTCAAAAGATGGCTGCTTCCAAGTCCACCTTCGGAAACTTTCATGATAGCATATGAATTAGGAAAAAAAAAAAAAAAAAAAAAACCAAAGCATCCGCAACATAATCCAGCATACAATACATTCATTATCATCTACTAGTAGTAGAAAAATGTTTTCAAGCAAGTCTACCAAAGGTATGATATGAAACTAGTAAACATACTACAGCAGCTAGGGCTTAGCCAGAAACACAACCCTCTCGTGCTGGAGGGGTGTTCCAACTAAAAGCTAATTCCCATAAGGGCATACCTCCAGCAAAAGCCAAAGATGATATTCTCATTATGAACAGCAAGACAAGTCAACATCGTCTACCCCTTCTAAATATATCAACATAGGTTACTGAAGCTAAAAACCAGCAAAAAGTATTTATATACTACATATATGTACAACACCTCCTTTAGATCCTTTCCTATTTCTTCACTCCACAGTGTCCATCACCACGCCCTTCTCTTCATACTTCACTGCCACCAAGTACCTTATGCTAACCTATTTAATCAACAAGAAAAGAAAGTAATAATATTAATGTTAAAGAGTTTTGAAATTTGATAGTGTCAGATTCAGACTAAATCCGACTGTATTTATGTGAGTGGGATGAGGACACATTTTCCTTAATGTAATGATCAAGAAAGTTCAATGTCAACTGAAATAATGCATGGAAAATCCACAACATTAATAGTTGTACATATCTGTTTTGGATCATAGACACCATACTCGTACTCTAGAATGCTGTCTTTAACGTCTGACGGGACTAAATGATCACACGGTGTTGGTGACCGCGCCACGATAGCTGATTAAGTGGCGCCACCTTTGTAACATAAGCACAACTGGCCGGTGCTTACCTGGCGTGCCCACGGTGGATTAGGTATTCTTGAGCTACCGATCCAATAACTGAACTCACTGGCTGAGGAAGGGGTCGCTACCCTTCCTCTATTATGGACGCGCCCCGCTCCAGTTGGATGGGCTCCTCCCCCCCCCCCCCCCTCCTGGCTCGCTCGAGGGTGCTCTCTGAAAGAGCGACCTCGACTGACCTGTTTAACGCATTTCCACTCCAGTCGGTGGACTGATCTCTTGTATGCTTGACATATGTGAAACGCTCCTCCCCAGTGGAGTCGTACTTCCCCGGAACTAGGATTATCTATCCTGATGCTTTTGTCAAGGCCCATAACGCGCTGTCAAACAGAATGGAGCAGCTTGAGGGCACCCAGAGGGAGGTAGTGACCTTGTTGTGAGAGATTGCTGACCGAGGAGTACTTTGGCGAGGTATAAGTCCAAACAATAACCTCTTTGATGAGCTCACTAGGGAGCAAGCAATCCCGGGCAATCCGGCGCGATAGATGTTTTCGTCATCAGCCGAGGCAAGGCGAGCCATTAGTCAACACAGGCGATCTCGAGATACACTGCCGCGAGCTCACTAAACCCTTTTCAGTACTCCTCTCACGGCACCCGCACGGCTGAGTATGCCAAGTACCAGTCGGAGGGAGGCTCATCATAGAGACACGGGCTCAGAGGGGTTTGGATATCAACAAGACCTTGCACAGTGATCACCGTATGTGACTATGGCGGACCTATAAACGCTGCTGCAAAACGAAAAGAATATGCTCATGCAGGAAGTAGCCCCCGAACCGCCCTACGCACAATCCATCGCGCTCCCTTACCCTCCGGGGTATCTGACCCCTAAGTTCAGCAAGTTTGATGGAAAGAAAGGGAACCCACGAGAGCATGTGGTGCGGTTTATTAAGGCCTTGGGGCCCTTCGTAAATGATCATACTCTGCGACTTAGAGAGTTTTCAAACACACTTACGGATAGAGCCTATAAATGGTATGTGAATTTAGAATCCGGGTCGCTCACTACTTGGAACCAATTAGCCACGATCCTCCAATTGAAGTTCTTTCCGGCAGAAGAAAGGGTGACTACCCTCTCCTTGACTAAAGAGACTCAAGGCCCTGGGGAGGACTTACTTACCTATGTCCATAGGTTTCATAACCGAGCTATGGAATGTTACGAAACTCATAAAGAAGAGGCGCTGGTTAAGGTTTCATAGGTAAGATTTGCAGGGGTCTTACCGAATTCATCTCATTAACCTCAAGCTCCTCACTTTCGCCGACCTGATAGAGGCATCTCGGAATTTGGCAAGTAACCTCGCTATTTATACACAAGCCGCCACACAAGGAGAGTACCGACGTAGACCTCAAGTTTCAGCTGCGGATGAGCCTCCTAGTAAGAGGGGCACGAGGCCAGCCCATGCTTCCGGCCCGAAGAATCTGAACGAGGCCCCTCTGCCGTTTAGATGCACTCCGGAAGAAGTGGAGACCATTCTTAAGAAATGGATTCAACATGGAGACATCAGGCTGCCCGAGGTGCCCGCGAGCCCACCCCAGAGGAGATAGCTAATCCAAAGTATTGCTTATATCATCGGCATACTCGCCACCCTACCTATAACTGTTGGGCATTGCGAAATACTTTCCACAGGCGGATTGCTAGTGGCGAGCTTATTCTTCCCCCCAGGGATGTGAGGGAGGAGTCTTTCCCCACGCATGATCGAGGTGTGGCGATAATGGTATCTAGAATGGCAATTGGTAATGAAGGGGTCGAGAAGGATGCTAACCAGGTCACGCTGGTGGAAGAACATAACCTCGATGCATTTCATTTGTTTAGAACAGCCCTTGTCAAGAATATTCTCCAAAAGATGGATTTTTCTCCTTTTGCTTAGAAGGAAGTAGCAAAATTTCTGTGGCTAGTGGCGAAGGAGGGTGTCAAAGAGGTGGCATCGATTGCATCACCCCCTATATCACAAAGGTCAGCTGGGTCAGCTATAGTCTTTACAGAGGAAGACAAATATGTCCCTACTCCGCACAACAAGCCATTGTATGTCACAGCTTCGCTCAATGGGGTCGAGCTTAAGCAGGCATTTCTGGATAACGGTTCATCCCTCAATATCATACCCCTGGAAGTCTTTCACCGCAGCGGTCTCCAGGATGAGAAACTTTTCCGAAGGCTAGCTGAGATTGCCGGGTTTGGAAGTGATATCCGGAGAACTGAGGGGTACGTGACGGCCGAGCTGGCATTAGAAAGTTTAAAACTTCAGTGAAGTTTCACGTCATTGATTCAGATACCTCTTACCATTTGCTCATAGGTCAAGGTTGGATGCACAAATTCGGGATTGTCCCGTCCTCGTATCACCAATGCATGCAAGGGTTTTAGAACGGGAAACAAGTAATGGTCCGTTGCTCCAATCTACCATTTGCTAAAAGGGAGTCTCATATGGTGGAGGCTAGATTCTTTAACGAGTTAGAAGATACAGAGGAACCCCAGCCGTTAAAGGCCTTTCCTCTACCAAAATGGGAGGAGATTGACCAAGAAGGGGAGGAGAAAATGCCAAGAGTGGTCGCTAACCAAAAAAGGCCAGCTGTCTACAAAAAGATTCGTTTGTTCGACGGAAGAATAGCATACCGCCTATGACGGTGTTGGGGGGCACGATCTTGGGTGAGATCTCGCCCCCGAGTGGAATCATGTCAAACAGAATCTCCTAACTCCGAGGAGTAAGCTTAAATGGAGTTAGGCAAATCCGCTCGGCTCAGTCAAGAAGAAATGGAGGAAGTCAACCTAGCCAATGACGGCCATTCCCAGGTAGTCTATGTGTATAAGAAGTTGGAAGGAAATGAGAAAGTGGCACTGATAGCCCTGCTCAAAGAATTCGAAGATGTCTTTGCCTGGACATACGAAGAAATGCCTGGACTAGATCCTCAGGTAGTGGCTTACCATCTTAATGTGCAACCGGATGCATGCCCGGTTAAGCAAGCGCAAAGGAGTTTTCGGCCAGAGCTCGAATTGCAAATAAAGGAGGAGGTACAGAAGATCTTGCGAGCTAGCTTTATCAAACCAATTCAACATCCTACGTGGTTGGCGAATATAGTTCCAGTGAAGAAGAAGAATGGAAAAATCAGAGTTTGTGTTGATTTTAGAGATCTGAACAAAGCATGTCCTAAAGATGATTTCCCGCTGCCTATAATTGACAACTTGGTAGACTCAACCTCGGGGCATGAAATGTTCTCATTCATGGATGGGTACAGCAGATACAATCAAATGAGAATGGCGCAGTATGATGTAGAGAAAATAGCATTCCGCACCCCCATGGGGAATTTCTATTTCACAGTCATGCCCTTCGGCTTGAAGAATGCAGGGGCCACTTACCAGCGGGCCATGACGGCTATTTTTCATGACATGTTGTACAGGCAAATGGAGGACTATGTGGATGATCTGGTGGTGAAATCCCAAGTTCGGGGTGAACATTTGGCTGATCTAAGAAATGTTTTTGAAAGATGTCGAAAGTACAAGCTAAGGATGAATCCGCTAAAATGCACCTTTAGGGTCGAGGCTGGCTATTTCTTAGGCTTTATAGTGCATCGTCAAGGTGTTGACATCGAGCAAAGCAAGGCCTGAGCTATCATAGAGATGCCCCCACCACAATCCCTCAAGCAATTGAAGAGCTTAGTAGGACGGGTCTCGTATTTACGACGCTTCATACTGGCGCTCGTCGAGGTGACACATGCTTTTGGTGCTCTGATGAAAGAAAAATTCGAGTTCAGATGGAGTGAGGAACACTAACAAGCTCTTAACCATCTCAGGAGACTGCTCTCCTCGCCAACCACCATGATAGCCCCTCAGATAGGGATTCCCCTTAGACTTTATATTACCTCGACAGAGTGCTTCATTGGGGCGCTCCTCACCCAGGAAAAAGATGGCCAAGAGCGCCCCGTGTATTACATCAGTTGAGTTATGTAGGGTGCCAAGGCACGCTATTCTCCAATAGAGCACCATTGCCTATCCCTCGCATTTGCATCCAAGAAATTCCGCTAATATTTCTTAGCCCATACCATTCATCTCATCACCAAATGTGACCCGTTAAGGTACCTGTTCTCACGACCAATCATTTCAGTACGAGTGGCGCAATGGCTTTTGATGTTGGCCGAGTTCGATATCCAATGCCTAGCACCTCGTGCCATTCTAAGTCAGGCCATGGCAGATCTGATAGCCCAATTTCCTTCTGGAAATTTCGAGCTGGTGCACGATGACCTTCCCCTCGACGAGTTCGAGTCAATTTGTTGTGCAGATGAAAACATGATTTGGACTTTGTCATTTGATGGGTCATCGAATATTACAGGAGGCGGCGCAGGAGTAGTATTGACCCCTGAGGAGGGGAAAGCCCGAAATCTTTCATACAAGCTCACTTTCGGATGTTCCAATAACACAGTAGAGTATGAAGCTCTGGTGCTGGGTCTTCTGGCAGCCCGAGAAGCTAAAATCAAATGGTTGCACGTGCAAGGAGATTCAAACTTGGTGGTAAAACAAATGGATGGCTCTTACGCTATCAAGGAGCCTGTTTTAGTGGCATATAGAACCATTATCCAGAAGCTCAGTAATCATTTTAGTGAACTCCGAATAACCCACGCGCCGAGGACTGCTAATCGGCATCTGGACGCCCTGGCCACTTTGGCATCAAAAGTTGAGATTACAGGAGAATCAGTAAACATCTGCATTCACAAGAAGAATGAGTCATGTCTATATGACACACAACTTACAGACTCTGAGGATAAGGATTGGCGAGACCCTTACGAGTCACAGCTGAAGGGTGGCGTGGGTGAGATCCGTTTGATAGAACTTAAAAATTTTACAGTGTATCTGGGAATATTATACTTCAAAGCACCTGGCAGGACTCTAACAAGGTGCGTTGGAAGACAGGAGGCCAG